ATGAGAGATGTTTCTAGAGAGTAACAAGTAAAGAAAAAGTAGGAGAGATCATGAAAATAGATGGTAAGCATGAGTAGTTCTACGCCCCACGTATTTGAGAGCAATACTAGGTCATAGTATGATCTCCAGAAGCACCAATTTAAGAAAAGGACGAGAAATGATTAATGGGACAAGATGCACCCATCAACAGATGGACCCAGCACCCCCAAGGACTTTTACACTGTGCGTTTTTACTCCCCCATCGCCACAATTTATATCATTTTGGAGGCGGGGTTTGACCTTCTCTGAAAGGGCAACCTGAAATGAGAGGGATATAACACCCCAGCAGGGAAATCGAGTTACTCGATAAGAATTTCCCCCTCTCGGATTACAAACTGGGGTCCTTTGAGGTCAACGCTCAGAGTATAAAAAAAAGCACCCCCACAAATAAGTTTCAACATCCATACCTCGCCCTTGGGATGCAGAATAACAGAACAACAAATAAACCGTAATGCACATCACCCCAGTTGTATTAGGTCCGGCTACATTCTTCTTTACACAAATTGATATTGTATTTCACTTATAAATAACAGTAAATAAACAAGTTCCTTTGAAAATAAATCCTCATCAATATTTGTGATTAAAGACAAACCACTGAAATAATGAAGGGCAAGAGATGAAATTTACCGATTGCAGCAATGTGTGAAATCATGCAGCTTACTCATCAGTCCAAAACAAGCAAGACAATCAAAGGTCTCTCTCTCTCTCTATCTGTTTCTCTCTATCTATATGTTTCTCTCTATCTATCTGTTTATCTCTATCTATATTTATCTTTGTGTGTGTTTGTATGTATGTGTGTGTGTGTGTGTGTGTGTGTGTGTGTGTGTGTGTGTGTGTGTGTGTGTGTGTGTGTGTGTGTGTGTGTGTGTGTCAAGTACAGTAGAATTAAGTATTAATGCTTGTTGATCTGAATCATTTGATACTCCAGGTAATTGCTTTTCCTAATGAAGCAGCCGTAAAGCTCTCTTCTCCAAGACGAAATCGTGAAAGAACTACATGTCAATTGTCTTTTTCTGACGATGCGTTTTCAGGTTTGGTATGTGTTTATTACTTCACTACACTTGTTCATTCCGTATGCTGTCATGTCCGTAATTTAAGAAAATAAACATATTTCTTAAAGAACTATTGACGTTACATGCCTTGACAGATGCCTGTTATTTTTTTCTTTCATTTTTCCTTTTTTTTTCCTTTTTCGTTGTTAAGTTTCCTTGTTTTCGTCCTAACACTGCAAATACTTATCTTGGTTCTTGTCCCTATAGTTCCTTATTGTCATAATGTTTCTTATTTGTGTGAAAGTACCTCTCCTCTTGTTAGCATATTCTTGCCTTTACATAATTTTGTACCGGTACCTCCCTCCATGCCTATGGCGCTAAAACGAACTTAAATACTTAATAGTATTTGATTTGATCACCTCTATTTCTACATTTCGTCCTTTCCCCAGAGAACAAACGCCCCCAAAAGACAAGAAGCCAAGTAGATCAATGGCTCCACTGCTTATTTTCCTTTTCCTGTGTGCGACTTTTCTCGCTCCAGTCAGGTCGATATGCGATAAGAGTTACATGAACAAAGAAAAAGAGGTGTGGAACTGGTTCAAGAAAGTAGATCCGAGTGGTACGGCTAAGTGTAGAGTGAATGGGACTTTCTTTAACGATTTTAGGAGATAAGCACGTTAAAAAAATGTATGCAAAAATAAAGGTAGGGCTTGTGAAAATTATGCAGATTATTTTTTACACCTCCATCGATACAATATAAAATACTAGGAGCCTGTCAGGGCCAGCCTGGACTGAAATGGATACTTTATTTTATATTGAAATACTTGAAAAAAGTTCTCTCAAGACGGGACTCGAACTCGGGTCTTCTGCAAAGTGCCAAACCATCATAGCATAGGCAGACAAAAGTAAAATAAAACAATGAAAGAGCAAAAAGATTATGATTAAGAGAAATCTAAATAAGGAACTTATCCTTTTAAAATGGACACAAAAAGAATATAATGAAATAACACAAAATGATTAAAAAAAAGAATATATCACAATTAAGGAAGAGAAAAATGAAACAAAAGAAAGGCACGAGAATGCTGATGAAGCCCACAGACATCCATTTATATCAAAGAAAGACTACCCATCTAATTTTCCCTTCCTCATTTGTGCCATTTTGAAATTGTTCCCGTAATTGCTTGAGTCAGAAATAAAACTGGTCTAGTTGAGAGGCCATTTGGCAGTTGAGGTTTAAAAAAAAAAAAGATTTCCGACACAATTTTAGAATTGTGCGTTGTTTTTAAGGTTCTGGGCCTCTATTAAAGGTAGGTCATACTACGCTATAACCTATTATTATTGTAATTATTACAAGGGTCATCGCCTTAGTGATGTTCAGTAATCTCTATCCCGTTTGCAGAAATTGCCATCTTCTGTCGAAACCGTTGTGTCAGGTCTTTGGTGATTTCACAGCTTTTAGAGAAACAATTAATTTGATCTACCGGTACTAGTAGATTTTGGATCCCGTCTATATTCTGGAAGAGTGCGTAAATATTACGAAGGCATTTTACCTTCACCTGCAACACAAATAATGTTCAACAGTGGTCCCAGTGACAAATGGTGACAAGGGTTTCGTCAATAAGGAAAGCACAAGATGATGAAACGAAAAAATAGGACATAATTGACAACATGATGATTAATTTTATTACATAGTAATTCAAAGGAGACAATCAGTATTTTAGACAAAACCTGATGATATTCTTAAGATTGCTTCCCTTGAAAGACATTCTGCCATTCATCCCAAGCTGGAGGCCTATCAGCCAGACCGTAACCCCCACACGCATTATGATTGTGGTACAGCTATTGGCATTTACTCAGCGGAAAATCTTTGATAGAAAAGGTTTGCACCTGTTATGTCTTGATTATCCAATTAAACTATGTGCAATGAAAAAATCTACACCCTTAAACCTATTCGTTTCCTCTCAAATAGAATAACAGAATGCACACAAAAGCAAAATGACTTCTGATGGATCTAAACAAATTATTCATTAAATGACTAGATTCTATAAACCACATTGTTTTTCAATACTGCTGTAACATTATTTTTCAGTTTGTTCCCATTGTAAAGTATTTTGTAACGTTAACTGACGATTTTAGACGTCATTTGTACATGCATTACAGACTTCAGGTTCAGGCATGAAGAATTCTTTAAGCTGGCAATCAACTATGTAGGTTTTACTTGAGACTTTGTCTTGAGGGGGGCACCTGAAGGCTGCCTATAGGCATCGCCTTCACATGTCCAAACAGTGGTGCAGATTTTGCTGTGGCAAATGGGGCTGTTTACATTGTTTTGAAGAAGAAAAGGCAGAGATGAAAACCTGTGATGTGGCGTAAACGATGGGAGAAAAATAAAGAAGAAAGGGGAAGAAAAAGAGAGGGCGAGCGAGGGAGCAGGAGAGAGGAAGAAAGAAATAGATAGGGAGGGAGGGAGGGAGGGAGGGAGGGAGAGAGAGAGAGAGAGAGAGAGAGAGAGAGAGAGAGAGAGAGAGAGAGAGAGAGAGAGATAGAGATAGAGAGAGAGACAGAGAGAGAGACAGAGAGAGAGAGAGAGAGAGAGAGAGAGAGAGAGGGGGGGGGGAGTGTGGGGGTGCAAAATGTCAAACAAAGATAGACAGGTTTGGTATTAAGCAACAGAATTCATTGACGTAAAATTTTACATTTTTATTCTTTTTTACTCTCGATTTTTTAACTCCCAATACCTTGGTCTCAAGTTTGCACAAAACATATCTGTTACTGACAGGAATTCACAAGTCCGCCTTGAGGCAGGAGATTTTCCCAAATTTTGGGCTGTACAAATTTTAAAACTTCCTTTGCATGAGAAGGTGCAAAAAATCTTTGTGTTACCCTGTTGCCAACAGGAAACACTAAATTTGGAATGTCATTATAAAATGTAATGTTCCTTTTGATATCACCTTACACAGAATTTTCTGTGTCCAAGACAAAAGTATCATCCAAACATACTGCTGTCAATAAAGACAGAACACTAAAAGACTAAGTAAAGCATTAACAGTATCACACAAAAAATATAGAAACAAAGGAAGTCTCATCAAACATGCTCACAGTTTATTTTGTTGATATACCACTTCATTGTTTCTATGACGGGACCTATAACTTAAAAGCCATTTCAACATGGGCACTCGGTGCCAACAAAAAGCAAGATGAAAGATAAAAATGGAGGACTGAGAATTTTTTTCAGTCATCCTACAGGAACACAAGTGCCATCTCTTCACAAGTTATCATAAAATGCAAACAAGTTCATATATATTATATATAAGATAAACATTACAGTCATCAATCACATTATCAACAGAGCTTGTAAAGTTTAAAAGGAAACAATAAGTTGTATTCTCTTCTATAGAGCTCTTTCACATTCCCAACTGAAGAATAAAGGGCAAGTTATCAGTTACATTCAAATAAAGTCTTCTTATGGTGTTGGGGGGCTGATGAGGTATGAATTACCACGCGACACTCAACATAATTGTGACATTTCACCTGAAACAAATAAGAACACAAACAAAACTAAAAAGAAGTAGGATATGGAATAGATGACTAACACAAGAGCACCCATCAGCCACTCAAAAGAGAGCAAAGAAGGTGGAGCAGATCACATCATCAGAGCTTATTGTCATTGCAATTCGCTATCAGCTTAGAGAACAAAATTTGAAAACTCCAATCTTAAGGCATTTGACCTAAGCACAATCTTAAAAATCAGCTCTCACAATAGACACATATTATTTTGCATCAATAAATCATGACAACTTAATTGAAAAAATCAAGAGAAGTAAAATGTCCTGACGATATGCCCTGCATCCTGAGGATGAGTTCAGTTTTAGTTTTAATAGAGGTTTTACAGTGCTCACAACTGCATAAGGTCATATGAGCGCCAGAAGATTAGAGGTGTTACAAGAGAGTAACAAACATAAAAAAGAAGAAGGGTAGATAAGGATGATAGATGTTTCATAGGAAAGAAGAAGCAAACCACACCAGAGCACCCGCCAACCACTCACCGAGGATGAGTAACAAGCAACAAGAAATATAAAACAACCACATTATTAAAATACATCAAAAGGGCAAAGGTCATTTTGAGAAAAGCCTCATGAAGAGCACCATAGAGATAAAGGTAATGATGACGATGACAAGCATGAGCCAGATCCACCAGGAGCAGGTCTTCGTATGCGCCTCTAGACGTTCACTCTCCACCTTCAGTTTGCTCAGGTTGGTGTCTGCCAGACGTGTGCTGTCCGAGAGTTTCTGGTGAAATAGACGTTGTCCGTTTGAGTTTCAGAGAACTGAATTGACACAAAACCCCCAAACAAATTGGAAAATTCAGATGGAAGCAAGAGACTGACAAAAAAAGGAAGGACCACTCAGCTGCCTTGTCAGGTCGCTAGGCATAAAGTGGAATACACTATGTATGAATTGAATGCATGCGCACAAACAAACACACACATTTCAAATTTATTTAAAGTGCGACGGTACTGCATTTATAACACATTTTCTTTTCTGATTTTGAGATACTCTTTTTCTTCCGGTGCCTTCTACAGTAGTTTGTATTCGACACCAAAAAAACTAGAAACAATCATTGTTGGTAATTCCTCTGGTTTTCAATACATTTTTACCAAATTAGAGAGTAAAAAGGGTTTATGAAGAGGTCATCCTGAGGAAGGGGAAGTTAGCCCAGTGGTCAGACTAATAGTAATTGTAAATATTTTACCCCCCCTATCAACCCCATTTTGACCATTTACACGGAGGGATGCTTCTACCCCGTAGGACCGATCCAGGCTGACAGGGATAAATGTCCAAGCAAACAGATGGAGATCCACCAAAAAAAATTTTTCTCCCACATCTTCAAAATGCCATGGTGAATAGCTTGACTATTACACCACATATGTCAGAGTAAACAACAACAACAAAAAAAGAAGGAAGACAAATGATACCCTAGAAAAATAGCATCACTTTCATTTGAAAGAAAGGTGAAGAGAAACAGTGACTTTGGAGGTATCAGACTTGTTTTTGTTCAAACTGACTTAAACTGTTGTTATTATAGACCAAAAAAAGGGGGGTCGGGGGAGGCCCAGGTGGAAGAAAGAAAAGGAAAAATAACCTCGTAGAATACAAAATCAGCTCATCAGACATAGATAAATATATGGACTGTATCTGTAGATAATTCGAAAGTTCCCTCTTTTTGGGGAAAAGACAGTGGCTTTTATATGCTGTAAAAAACTAATTTCTTTCATTCAGAAACAACTCAGTTTGACAAGCTGTACAATTATAGTCCTTAGAAACAAAAGTCCACAAAAATCCATCACATTATTTAAAGTTTTACCTTGGTATCATCCCTAACGACCCGGTTAGCTTCTGTCATGTTCTGTTTGAGTGCCCGAGTGTGCATGAGCATATCTTCAGCCAGTTTCTCCTGCAGCTTATGGTGGTGCTGTAGTATAGTGTTGATATCTTCTTCCTCCTGCCCCTTGCCGCGATGCCGCAAGCCGTCACCACCTGGTATTTCAATAGAATGAAACAAACTTAAAATAGCAAATTTAGCTCTTACATGAATGTCTCAGAACCCCCAGTATCCCACTGTCACTGTCTTAGAAAAACTGGGGAAAAAATGAGCATAGAGAAAGCTTGGCAAACAGCTTCACAAAGAGCGTGAGTCATCAAAATGTTTTTCTTACTTTTAGTAGAAGTTCTATGGCGCTCGTAACTGCATAAGGTCAAAGGAGCGGCAGACGATTAAATGTGTTACAAGAGAGTAATAAACATAAAAAAGAAGAAGGGGAGATAAGGACGATAGATGTTTGATAGGAAAGAGCACCCGCCAACCACCCACTCAAAATGTTTACAGTCCTAAAAAGTAGTAGGGGGACAAAACAATTTTTTTTTTTTTTTAAAACAGGAGAGACAAAGTATGGATGAATCTAATATTACGCACTTTAGTACGTTCTTGAGACAAAAAGCAGTCTATTATTTAGTCTCTACCACTGACTTAAACAACCACTTAATATTAAATAACTTGTCATTACATTCTCTTTGCTCTCACAGTCGCAATAAATAATATCAAAAGACCAGGAAATACAGACTTTTACGTGATATTAGTGGTTTCTTCAATTTGTGCAGTGTTCTAAAACATAATGCTCCACATAATGTAGATGAGTGTGCACTATCTGAGACAACTGAGCGGAGCATGATTCTTGACATTAGTGAAACAGGCTGACCTCTGCCCAAATTTAAAAGAAAGGACAGTCCCAGCAAGTACATATATTTTCAACATACACTTTATGATTGCACCTATGTAAAGGATACTTCCATACTGTAACCCATGGACCATGAATAGCTGAGATATACTCATGATAGTGTATTCCCTGTGTCCAATAGGACGAGCTTTGCTTTTTATTCACCCTCTGTACAGATGTCGATTTCTGAAACATCTCAGAAAGTGAAGAAATTATAACTTAGACAAACATAGCTATCACATTTGATTTTGAGCTTCATGACCCGCATGTCTGTAATTATGTAACTTGCCTAAAACAAAAATCTGCTATTCAAATTTGAGAACATTTGAACTGTTGAAAGGAAGCTTACTCGAAAGGAAACTTATAAAATTTATGTAAAATAGAAACCCATCACAAATTTGAATTCATGTTGCTTGAATATCAATTTTCATAAACAATACCTTCTTGTGATTTGTTTGTTCCCAGCAGTTCTGCTCTAACATCCTCCTCACACTTCGCCTTTGCTTTGGCCTGAAGCTGCCTCGAGGGAGCACTGTTGACATTTGAGCTGACGGGACGCAATCGCTCCGTAATTAGAGCTCTCTCTGCGACACATGGCTGTATTGAAAAGTATTTTAAAATGCTAACACTGTTGAAAGCATGAATAAAAACACAGAACTTAAACATTTAAAAATCCCCCCCACCACTCCCTAAAAAAGCATAGGATCTCATCAGTCTTTGCAATAAATAGACTTTAGTCTCTAGGGTTACCATACAAAGTCGCAAAAAGGCCAATTAGAATTGTATGAGAATGATTTTCTAATACAAATTTTTAGCCTACACAGTTTGGATCTAAACAGGGCAAAAAGTGAAAAGTTACCACACATTTATCTTCAATCAGTAATCATATTCCACAAACGTGAAGTCTACATCACAATGAAAATCACCTTTTTTTCTGCCTCAGCTAAGCCTTTCAGCAGATCCACTTGCTTCTGGTACTCTAGCAGTGTCTCTTGGGTTGTTTTGCTGTCAGGTACAAGAAAAAGAAGAACTTATTTCTGTTAAATTAAAATTTCAGAATATAATGTGGTTAAATCCAAAGACAGGAACCAAAAATGTCTTTTACTTGTATCCCTGATTGTTTTTTTAATAGCCATGAACCTTTAACTCATTCAGTGCTGAGTGCTTCAACAGTGAACTCCCCTCATATACTGGGCATTTTGTTGTGGCAATATGAAATTAGGTCTACCCACAAAAATAAATAAAAAATGCCGGGCTCAATGGCTGTTCGAGCAGAAAAAAGTCTCCTTGACCTTTCCGAAAAAGCATCACGATTAGTAAAATAACTTGGTATGGAGTAGACAGAGTAATTCTTTCCATAAAGATAGTGAGGCAGAATGCGAGAATACTCGTCCCTAGAAAGTGGGAGGGACCCAGGTTTCATGAGTATTCTCGTCCGTAGCACACTGAATGAGTTTTAAAACCATTTACTGGAGGAGGGTGGGGGTAAGTAATTACTGTGGTGGTCAACATCCCGGCCCTGTAATTCCAAGGTTCATGAAGCAACTTAAAAAGTTATTTCAAGCAGCCTTTAACACTTTGCCATCACATCTTGCCGAACGGCGATGTTTGCCACCCAGTTTCTATGGATTTTCCGCAAATGCCTTTGCCTTTGATGGCAAGGGTTTTTACTATTTGAGCCTTGTGATGGCAAATTTTCAATATATTTCAAAATCATTAAAATTGAAAGATGCAATTTAAACACCTTCCTGAAAGTCTTCACAAGATTACCAGAAAAGGAACAACATAAAAAGACAAGCAAGAGTGTACTTGGTTAAAGATATCTTTATTATGATTTGAACATTCATGACATCTCTTTTTAAAAAATCATAGAGTACAAAAAGGAAAGTCTTCAAAATGTGGATACAAAGACAATGTTTCTTCTATTTTGAAGAGTATGTTACCTTGGGGACTTTTTCAGTTCTGTCAGGTAATTTTGGAGGGCTCCGATATACTGGAGAAAAAAAAATTGAAAAGTATTAGATGAATAACTCTAGTAAGTGATATGCAAAACCATGATGTTGTTATCACAGACGAGAGAAAATACTACAGAAGTAAAGTAAGCATAGTCAGTCAGGTGCCTGCTGTACCATTCCACTGCTTTTCTGTATACACTGTATGCGCCAACACCATTAAACCATGAAAGGCCTATCATGATGCATGATAGTGTCCCATTTTGTGGGGAGATGATGGTATAAAAGGAAAGTAAAGAGTCAAGGGATGATAAGAGAATAAAAAAAGTAAGATCTGAAACTTGGAATGGGTCTGCTTTTAACTCACTGGAGACTGGGCCTTTTTCGGGTTTACATGCGCTGAAGACTGGCATTTTTGGGAGTATTTCAACATTTTAAACAACATCCTTCCCAAAGACATACAGCCACCATTTCTACACACATAACAGATCTAAACATGCCCAATATGACACAAAAAAACAGAAAAGCAATATCTTTTATCATTCTTTAGAATTTTTTATTTTAAAGGAGCCTTTTTGAAAATGTACTAAAATTTGCTACTCGCCAAAATGTTTTAACGTAGTGTCTTGGGTAAAAAAAAAAGATCAAACCCCCCGAAAATTAAACTTGTGTGTGCCTTTTATTGTGTTTTGTGTTTCAAAATGAATAAAAAGTCCAAACTCATGTCATGAATAGGCAGGTAATCAATGGTAATCCTTATTAGCTGTCTAATCAACTTCAGTGTGAAAAAAAACAGGGCACCAGACAAAGCGGAATTTTGCATTTAAAGCCTTGTCTAGATCTAGAACACTCTCTATCAAAATCAGTGCTTCAAGTATCATACATTGTGCTTTGACGCTCATTATATTGAAATCAGGATCCCTATGGTCTAAAATATATCGTAATTATCAGAATTTTCTGACCAGAAAAATATTTGCTTTTTCGTGCTGCCAAGTGGCTGGTTGGCGGATGCTCTGGTATGGTTTGCTCCTTCTTTCCTATCAAACAACTCTCGTCCTGATCTCTCCTCTTTCTTTTTTAGTGTTTGTTACTCTCTTGTAACACTTTATCTTCGCCACTTATTGATCTTATTGCGTTACATGTGCTGTAAAACTCTTACTAAACCTAAACGTGCTGTCATTGTACTGACAAAGTTTTGCGAGAACAGACATGTCAGAGAAACGAAAGTAGGGCCTCAGTGTGACGAATAAGTTCCATTCCGGGTCAATAACTCAAAACTCAAAAAGTTTCCAGCCAATTCCGGTAAAACTTAGCACGAAACGAAACAAAGGTCGGCTGCGCCGTAAGAGACGGTTCACGCAGTGTTTGCTCGCATATTTTGCAGAGGAAAAAAGGCAAAACTTGTGCTCGCAGTGGGTGCGTGAACCTCTTCTCGGGAAAATATTGGTGTTCGAAAATGCTGCGTGAAACATCTCAAGTGAGATAACATTGGACAATTTTAATGTTGTCTACAAGTTTAACTAGATCTAAGTGTGGTTTAGTATTGTTTATGTGCATAGAATAGATATCACAGCAATCATCCACATCTATTTCTACCTAAATCCGGTAAATATTCAATATAAAATATGTGGGTATTTTTTTACTTTCCCTCCCGTCTCACACTCAGCTACCAGTTGTCTATTTTCTACTAAATATTGATGCGCTGAACACGAAATATCAACTTCATTTCCGTCGCAAATTAATGGTTTTTGAAATATTTGATTGTTTTTAACCGAGATAGACATGCTTTGGACCAATCGGGGGGTTCCAGGGGGGCCTGCCCCACTGGGGTAAAAGAAAATCTGGGGGGCCCCCCTGTTTTTACACCCATAATTTGATATTTTACAGTTAGATTTGAAATTGTCTTGAAAATAATTCATTTGCGACAGTTTTAGTGGCTTTATGTGTGATCTGCAGCAAACAGTACAGCAGTTTGACCCCTGAAACAGTGCATCTGTTAGCGGGAGTGAAAGTAAAAATTTACCAAATGTGCAAATCTCGAAGAGATTGTCAATTGAGACAAATGTCCTGATACTCATTTCCTACACATATATTATTATTATTATTATTATTATTATAATTAGGTTTTGAAGACAGTATACTCATGGCCTGGGAAGAACTTCCATAACGAGTGATGACCCTAACAAACACAATAAAGAAGAGACCCAACCCTATCCCTAACCCTCTATTCTAATCTGCCTCATCATAGTGTCATAGCGGTTGCTCGTTACGGAGGAGGAGGTCCTCCCATGGCCTGAAAATGAAAACAAACATGTTTGTTTTAGAGGCCGCCAGTCCGGAGATTGGTTTAAGCCACGATGGTTACTTTGCACCTTTAATCTGGTTAGCCCCCGCCTACCAAACCGAACAAATTGTGCCAATTCAAAGACAAAGGGCACTGGAAGATGCGTGCCTGGTCATCCTGATGACGATGTAGCCTAGATCTATATCTGGGTGCTTTTTCGGTAGTTCCCACCCCCCTTATTTGAGCCTGACCTACATCTAGATCTAATCTAGATCTATACACGTTTGATTCGCGGTGAGCTAAGATATCAAACCTAACAACTGCTAAACATTAAATTATGGTAAAATTCAGGGGGGCATGCCCCCCTGAAACCCCCCTACTCTTGTGATCCAAACCCGTGAATAAAATTGCGGGGTGGGAACTACCGAAAAAGCGCGCCTATATCTGGATGGGCTAGCGCAACCAACTTGACGCACTGGCACCGACGGCGTCGGGAAGTCCATGCATTGGGCCTACACAGATTACTGATTACGATGATTGAAAGTTAAAAACAATACAAGTTTACTATGTGTTACACCTTTTCAAAACGCCAGTCTCTGTTTTCTTTATCTTCTGCCATGGCCCGGCATTGCTGCAGAAGCCTGTTGAAATTTATTTCATTACGTGTACCTCCAGCCATGATTGTTTTCATCGTAAGTGGTAAATTACTCTCACAAAAAGAAGAGCTCCACAATCGACTTTTTATAACCTTCAGGCACCAAGATCCTTTTCCTGTTTTCGTTGTCAGAGACAACTATGTAAACAACGGATCGGCTGAGTGAATAATGTAAAGGGGTGGATTCAAAGGCAAGTGTCAATATTTTTAATCGGAAGAAAGTGTAAAGGATTCGGGGGGAGAATTAAATACCGATTTTCACCGGAGAAGGTGGAGCTTAAGTGCTGGGCGGGAATTTTGTTTGAGTTACTAGATTAAGTCAAGTTTCTCACGAAGTCTGTCAAGAGTCAAGCACGTCAAATGTGTTTTTGTTTGTTAATAATAAAAAAAATATTATACAGATTAAATTCTAGATCTAGATCTAGAATCTAATCTCTAAATCTAGATCTAGATCTAGATTCTATAGTTGATCGAAATTGTAAATTTTTTCCCCAGACTGTTCAATCTGCTAGATTTGTTATAAATAATACGTTTTGAAACGTGTCTACAATTTAGAAAGAGCCATTCACTTCCATTATTATGGGGAAAAAAAAATATACTGCTCCTGCGGAGTAGATGCACACACCTCTCTGCTATCTAAACCAAACACCTTAGAATTAAGATATTTATCATACTGGTATAGTTATATGTGAGAATTATTCTTAAAGGCAACATGGGTAGCACAAATCTCCCCGGCTGATATAATATTATGATTAGCTTAGCAACAATGGGAGAATTTTATATAAAAGGCTATTTTACATCATTTTTTATTGTAGGCCTAATGGAAGAAGAGGGGGCTCTCATGGTCTAGACATATGGTGTTTTCTTTGCATTCAAAAACCTGAAAGTGACAGAAAATTTTCCTAAAATTTTCTCTTTTTCACCCCTTTTCCTGCTCACTGATCATACGTTCTCAGTTCTGCCACCTGCTTTCATACATGTTACTTTTCTCCCCCTCTTCTGGGCCCCTACTCTTTCCACTGTTACTCAAGGCTCCTTCTTACTTCCAAAACAAAAAAACAAAAAAAGAAATGGAAAAAGAGCCATCCATTAAAGAAAAATAAAAGAGTTAACTCAATTTCATTTCACCTCATCAAAGATATCTGTTGCAGAGGGTTTAACTAACCTCATGCATTTGCTTCAGATCTGAAGCTTGGCAATGGCAAAGCAGTCAAAGAATATCGAATGTAAAGTACACTATCAACAGGCCTGCTATCACTAGTACATCTGCTCTTTTTTTATTGATTAGATTTTAAAACTTAAAATTATTCATGGTGCCTGGTGTTAGGACATGTTGGTCTAGAAGGATAATTTTTATCCAGATTCCTTCACCCTCTCCTTAATTCACCTATCCCATAGACTGGATATGTCCGTCAGGCGCTTTTGAAGATTTGGCCACCAGCTTCCTCCACTCCTTCTGGTCTTCAGCTTTCCTGAGTGTGTCTTTGAGTTCCTGGACTGTGGCCATTCCTTGATATGTTGTCCTCCCACTTCTTCTTTGTCTGCCTCTTCTCTTTCCCTGGACGCTGCCATACAGGATTATTTTGGCAAGGCCGGATGATTGTATTGTGCAGATAATTTGAAATTGTAATTAAATTTTGTTAGAATGTTTCATCATGTCTGCTGTTATCTGCATTGTTCATTGGAAATTTCAGTTGGGTAATAATGATGAAAAATTGTAAATTACTGTTTTTTGGTTACACATTATATGTAAGACATAAATTATGTAATAATAATAGAAAGCATTTGTATAGCGCAAATCCCTGCTCAACAGCAAGCTCTATTTGCTTCACAATCTATACTATTACCCCAGCAGGCCTGAGAGCATTCTGAAACAACCTCAACTTCCTGGGAAGCATACAATGCAAGCAGCCATTTATAGGCGCTAAAACACTAATAACATACTGACAAGTTAAGACATTACGTAGTACAGCACGTTTACACTATCATAATCTTTTATGTCTTCTGTCAAAACAAAAGGCTATAAATAATAATGATTAACATGTTATAAAAGTAAATAGTAACAGGACATGTTGGTTGACATGGGAGAAAGTCAGCATGATCCACCCTCTATGTTGTAGTTATATTTTACCACATACGAGCATACTTTAAAAATCAAACCATTAAACCGTATCTTATTTAATCTTTTCATCTAATTTTACTGAGAACAATAAATAGCATTAGAAGTATGTTAAATTCATATCCAGCATGTGTAGAATAGGAGAATTCATGGATTGTTGCTTCTGGTACATGAGGACAACATTAATATTGTACATACATTCACCACCAGTATAATTAGGAGCTGCCATGCAAAATACAAAGTTTGAATTTTTCAATAATTTTGGTACAATATAGAATTTTATCTCAAGAGAGAGTTCCATGTCTCAAGAGGTTTATCAATAACCAAGTACAAACTTTGCTTGAGTGGCTTTGGTAGCCAATGCTTTTTCAATAAATTACATTTTTCAAATTAACATCCTTTGTCTTTTTTCAGTCTTCAGAACCTTACAAAAATGGCTCAAAAGACACAGGCAAATGCTGCTGTCCCAAGGAAACAGGATTTCAACAGAGGTCATTTGGGATCAAACAATTTTTCAATAGGACATGACTTCTCTGTCACAAAGAGTACTCTTCAGAGTGTCTTCAAGAAAGATTTTCCTGAGCATGGGACATACGGCCGTGCTGACCTGGCAAAACCACCCCGATTAGGTGATGTGATGCATATAGATGATCGATTCAATGAAAGAGCATCAGAAACAGTAAAAGCTTTTGAGTATCAATCGATACCTAAACCTGTCTTACTGGTAAGTGAAATTTAGTTACTACCGATATGTAGGCTATATATATATATATATATATATATATATATAAATGTATATATTTTTAAATTCATTGCGTTTTCTTTTTACGCACACATACAATGTACAAAAATGAAATTCCTTTAATACTTTAAGTAAATTAGCTTGCATAAATATAGCTTTCATGATGATATGTTGATGATGCAAACATTTAGAGAACTTTTCAATTACTACTATAGGCCTATTTAGAAAGACAATTTCATTATATCATGGCTTTGGTGATTACCGGTACCAGAACATTTGTTTTGTCATTCTTTTTGCTATTTTAATCAAATCTATTTTGATGCAAGAGCAGCTATATTATGATCATAAGTTAATGACAGTGAAATTCTAGCGGAAAGATTGAGGGAGAGATTGAGATCATGCATCATGTATAATGGAAATACCAACAAGATCTAATCATATTTTTCCTCTGTTGATGGGTAAGGATCGATAGTCTGATTTATTTTCTTGAAAAAGTACATGAGAAGTTAAATATGGAAATAAAAGGCTACATTATCAATATATGACTAAAACAAACAAATTTCCCTCTGCTTTTGCTAAAGAGTTAAAGTTAAACAATATGACAGTCATATAAACTTTAATCAAGATGGTGTCTTTATTTTTTCTTGTTTCACAGGACGTGGCAAATAAACTGAGCCATACAAACTTTAAGATGGATTCTGACACCAGCAAAATCAACTCTTTCCATACTACTCACAACCATTTCTTCAAGCCGAAAATGGGAGATACATTTTCTCCACTGCAACAAATCCAGACAACTCAAGTAAGCAGTGTCCCTCAAGGGGATAGGGAGAAAGCTGAGAAGCCAATATCTGACTACAAGTACAAGTTCACAGGGATTGATACTACCAAGAACAGAGTAGAAAGAGCACGGTGCATGCATGATGGTAAGGTTTAGGGTGAAAGGAAATTTTTAATCTTACATTTTCTAAAACATAAATGATTTCTTTGAAAGTCTATCTTCTGTCTTAACACCTTTTAGTACTGTACTGTAAGATTACTAAAAAGAAGTAGGACTTCCTTATTTAACATTCATCTTCGATGAAACCAAGCCAAATTTAGAGAACGTTGAGTACTCCCCCATTAAGGATTCAAACCAAGGCCATCTACACCGTAAACAAGCTTGACTCTAACAAAGTAACCGACTTACCTATAGTATTTTTAAATGCCTGTGATATTATTGTTTCTGTGTGTGTGTGTGTGTGTGTGTGTGTGTGTGTGTGTGTGTGTGTGT